AGTGAAGCATTCACAGAACAGCATCTCCGTCGAGAACCAGAAGCATACCGCGCTTCCGTCAGAAAAGCATGCCGACTCAAACACAAGTCAAGCGTGTGGCTCAGACCTTGTTACGAGTCAAACAAGCTGCCTCGTTAAGAGCAAAGGAGGCGGGCCGTAATGCGCTGCCAGGGCAGCCAGACAGGCCTGCAGGTGCACGGTGCAAATACGTGACCCCACGCCCTGCTGGCGGCACTTGTTAATGATGAATACATCTCTACACAGGGGTTTATGATTTCAGAGACACAACATGCCAGGGACCCTTGGTTACAAAGCCCCCCCACCCTGCAGGGAGCGAAGTTCAGGCAGGAAAGAATCTGAATCAGCCATATGCCTAATAGCAACACTGCGCTAATGAAGCTGATTGCAGTGGAAGGTGGTACCGGAGGGAGGCAGGGAATATACAGTAAGTTACAGGCTGACAGGGAACACAATGAGAGAAGCAGCAAAAGCGGCTGGCATGCAGGGAAGTGGGGAGGGGCTGGAGTATCCAGGGCTCCTGTGGGAGCTTCATTACCTGATTAGAGACCAGAGAGGTGAGCAAAAGAGATGAGGCAGGCTACAAGGGGGGATGCTAGACTCCTCCCGAGGGACTGTGGGTGCACTCTAAGTGGAGTGTGCTGCTGTGGCTGCACCGTCTGCACACATCCATTTATCCATTAACATCTGGGAGCCTCACTGGAGTCCATTACAGATTGCTACCCCCCACACCCCATCTGAAATACCACACCAGTGCAGTGCAGTGCCCTAAATCTACAGTGCCCACACCTTCATATTCAGAGGCCGAGAAACAGAATAGAACTTAATTTGAAGAAAAGGAAATCCCAAGGTTGTGCGACAACTGCACCTGCAGGCCTACTGAGAGGCGCCCATTTTCCTGCTAAATGCTCTTCCTGTTCGACTCCTAACCCAGACAGCTGAGAGCAAGCGCACAGAGTTCCTGCTGGCGCATCATGCACTTTTACTGACAGCATTGATTCCACTGTCAATATGCAGACTTTCTCTGTTGTAACAACCGGTATTAGGGCTTAAGGGGGCAATAAAGTACTTGTGATTTCAGTACATCATCTGCGAAAAAGGCAGATGTAAGAATAGCTGATTCATAATTAATCAGCCAATAACTAATTAATAATTGGGCATCAAACTTGAGCTATTTGGGAATCCTTAAAAAGCACTGTACATAAAACTGTTTTGTATGTTAAAGATGGTTATGAAGGGCACCACACCCTGCACAAATGACAAAAGAAAATATACTCAAACTCACAAGAGAATCAGAGGCAACCCCTGCACAGGAGAGGAGGTGATAGAGAAAGACAGAATGGAATAGTCTGTGTGAAAGTGCAGAGCGAAAAAGTGACACTTCAAATGTGGCAACCACACTCATCTACAGAAAAACAGGGTTTTTTTTTTTTTTTTTTAAGGGAGGCGAGGTATTCAAAAATAGAATGGATGGAACTGGTGTCCACTTGCCTGTAAATCACAATATATAGCTTATTTCTTAATCATGAACATATCGACCATGTTCTAATTTAAAACTCACTTATGAGAGCACTTACAAACACTGGGGTTCCTTTAAAAGGCACATCTTGGATGGTACTAGGAAGATAGAGGGGAAGCAGGTCTTGTTCATCTCTCCCCACACCAGCTTGGCTTAGGCTGTAGGAGGAAGTGACCTTATGTGGCCAGAGCCTGTAATTTATCTACCCCTCATTAATTCAAATCAGCTACACAAAACACAGAACTTTACTTGCACGGCTACAGGCCGGCATTTGAATAACTGGACACGGGAGCCATCTCTGCACTTCGCAGCCGAGTAACTGAAGCAGCGGGAAATTCAGGGGCCTAACCTGCAAACTCAAATCTGCAGATATGGGCCACACAGAGGACAGGCCCAACCAAGCTCTCTTATGAAAGAGGAAGTCTCTAAAATACAAATAATTGCAGAATAAGTTAAATCAAATGGTACCAGAAAATGAAAACTGAACCTCTGATCTGCTTGACAACAGTTAGGTCAGCTGGAAGACGCAAAGAGCTGTAGTGCCATGTGGACCTGAGGCAAACTGGGTGAATATTAACTTGACCAGAACAACACAAACAGGCCAGACTCATTTGATGACCAAATAACTGGGACTGCTTCACTTCCTCCTTCACCTTTGAACCTGTCATTCTAGCTACAGTCACAGACCAACCTCTCCCATGTTACTTGATCAGAAACACGGCTACTGAAATGACTTGTGTATAGACGGAGGTAGAAAAAGAGCGTCCCATTTGCTGTTCCTGCTGAACACAGGCTGGTCCAGCTGTGCTCACTGCATCAGCACCCCTTGCCCCGTGCCATTTCCAAGCAGTTGCCCGCTGTTCCACCTGCTGAGCATGTGTGGCCCACTTCCTCATTCAGAACGTCATGCTCCATTGGGTTTCCCAGACCACCATGAGGAGGCAGCGCCCTCGGTGGACTGCCCAGGTGAGTCTGTGGCAGCCCCTGTGCGACAGAGACTGATCGGCTGGGTCTCTCAAATTCATTGCCTTGGCAGGTATGAGGCTTTTATAAGGTCACATGCAAAAAGGTTCCCCCAAAAAAGTAATGCATATCTAATGCAAATCAGGCTCCACATGACTCTATGAATAAGCTGGCAGAAGCTGTTCGTGAAAGCCCAAAATTGATTTTCTGAGTATTTTAATTACTGAGAACAACTAAGGGCATGTAATACCGCTCAGACAAAAAGAACTGCAACACTAGTGCTCCATAAACACTGGACTCCGCCTGACAAGGAAGGTTTTTCGCTTAATCCACATTGCCTGTTTTGGGGGCTGCTTTGTGCCATGACTAAGAAATTAAGTTTTAATCTGTGACAGATCGCTTGCTTTGTCTGAATCAGTCACAGCTACCAGAAGAGAGAGACAAAACGACACTGAATATTCAGAACAACCCCCCCCACACACACACACACACACATACACAGACACAAAATATGCTAACAACCCCTTCCCACCAGTCTTCAACAGCCTCATCTTGTTGGGAGTAAAACCAAGCATGCACCAGCCCACATGAGCACTGGGCAGCACTGTCGTGTGTACAGAAAACCTCCCTCTCCTCCAGACCGTGGCACACGTGTGCTGGCAAGAACTCAGTGACACAACTTGGGAAGCAGCCTGTTCCTCCAGCCGCCGTTCAGATGGACCTCCGCCACTTCACTGAGCTCCATACATCAGCAACAATGCTCTCATTCTGCTCCACGGGTGAGGGGCGGCAGGCCAGGGGCTATCCTGAGGGCCCGGACAGCTGCTATACTGACACACAGAGGGCAGCAGCAGACTGTGCCACCCCACTCCAGCGGGCAGACCCAAGAATCCACACCCCTCCCTCTGCCATCCAGACTGGACCTTTTATTCACACAATCAGGATGCATGTATGCTCCAACCTGGCCACAGCTAAGGCAAACTATCCTGCTCGTTACTAAACAAGAATAACTGCATCTCATCCAAGCCGTCAAATGACCTGGTGACCTAGGAGAAAAGCCCACGTTTCTGAGCTGCTGGCTACACACTGCACTCTCCCACACTAATATGTACGTTAAATAAGCCTTCTTTTTAAGGCTGTTGGACGAATAAAAATAGAACAAATCATTGTCAGAAGGCTGCCCTAATTGAGAGACCACAGTTTCCTTAACTGCAGCTGCAATTAAAAGATGTTCCTGCTAAAATGCATTGCTCTGTGGGGTAGGAGTGAAATCAAATCAGAAGCTTTGCTGAGTAAAACAGCAAGATCAAGGCACGATTGCAAATCATTTTAGTCTATTAATACTATAGTGATCATTTCACATGCATTATGTATGACACAACCAGATGTATGTTTTCTCCTCAAAGATTAGTCTAACAAACCCTTCTTTTGCAGGTACCCTCAAACACAAATAAAAAAAAAAAAAAAAAACAATGCTAAAAACATGCTCACTTCATTCAGATGCTCCAAGCTAACAGCTGGTAAACCATGGGACCTCATTCCGTATGCAGCATATTCTCAATGGCTGGCTTTGAGTTTGACCAAATCTCCATCAGTGTGGAGATTTTTTTCCATGGCTAGAGGGCTCTCAGGGTGAAAAACGCAGTAGTGACTCTGTGGATACGCATGTGAATAACTCCGTTTTCAGTGGCAACAGTGTAGAGCGAAAATACCAGTGAAATGTCAAGTTTCATGACTTCCTCTTCATCCCCAGCTTCGAAAAAAGTCTCTAAGCAGAACAAAGCCACAAATGACTGAGCAAGCTAAAATTCCCCACTGACTATCCTGCATTAAATATCAAATCTGACGTTTTAATTCATTTATGGAATAACGCTTCACATATAAACATGGATATCAATCCACTGCCAGCTTTTCTTATACTGCAAATAGTACTGAACTAACCTGTAAGACATTGATAACAACGCATCAATGAATACAACAATCCAAATTGCTTATTAAACCACAAAGCGGCCTGCAGGACACCAAAACGCACGAAACACCTCCTTTCAACGCTGCGACTACGTTATCCATCGCTCCCCCGAGTGACACACCTTTCAAACGAGGGGAAAATACCCGGGGTTACAGTGGCTCTGTGCCATTTTTTTTAGCTGAGGCAAGCCTAACAATAAAAGAGGCGATCCAAATGTTACAGTAACACAACCTGCAGATAGATTACTTGCGTTTGCTTTAGAGGCATGATGCAGAGGCTGTTGGCGCACACAGACACATCCGTGTCTGCAGCCGCTTTAAAATGCAGTTTAACATGCACATGTCAGGTACTGAAGCGCGAGACAGCTGCATGAATGGCTGTCAGGGAGAAGTTACCTATAGAAAGGCAATTTTCCTTGGGTACCACACGTAACTTGAGGTAATAACATAATGTGAATTCATATGGAGGTAGCGCGTCGGGCACTAACCCGGAGACACACAAAGACATGCGGAGCTCAGCCCGCAGCCGTACCTCGTCTCTGAGCGGGGCGGCGATGCCGGCGTCGTCTGGGGGACGGTGAGACTCGGCGAAGCGAAGCAGGAAACACGACGTTGGGGCCGGTCCTCTGCGGCGGTCACTCCATCCAACGGCCGAGCCTTTCGGCGACGTCTCAGCTGCTGGTAAAGGTGGGGAGCGCTGTCCGCCTCTCCCTTGAACGTACGTGAAGACGATTTCACCCGCGGCGAGAAAGCAGTCCAAGACGCGGCGCTTAGGAGCGAATATACGCGTCGGACTGGGTATCCGTCTTCCGTCTGCTTTTCTCTGTCTTTCTTTCCTCCCGCCTCGGTCCCCTTACCGCATTTCTAGGCGGCTCGCTTACTGTAGGTGTGCAACGAGTAGCGCCGACGAAAAACAAAAAAAAAAAAACCGCCGCGAATCCGCAGACGGCCGGACGGCTGCGGCGCGGCTTCACGCTGGCAGACGGCGCCGGACAATTACACGTACGCGGTCCAGTGCGTGTGCGGCGGCAGCCGTACGCTTCCCGAACGGTTCGCCTCCGCTGATTGTCTTAAATTCACGGAGGCCCTACAAGAGGAAATCCCCCCCCCCTCCGTTTTGATCGGGGGACCACACTGCGCTTGCGCGCCGTCATGGCAGCCGGGAAGGTGTGCGCTGGGTGAAAATGCAAGATCCGAGCGCCCTCTTTTGAGGATGAGAACACACTACAACGGGGATGCGACGTGGATGTTTTGGTTAACCTTGGGTAACCTTTACTAACCTTTCTTGGCGGGGAGGCAATCCAAGTCCTTTTTTTAGGGGGTACTGCAAAGAGCGACTGTAAACCTACTGTAGCTGGTTTGTTTTATGCTCAAATATGTTAATTGCCTGTATCATGAGGTTTTTTTTGTTTAACTTTAGTGATAAATCTGATTATTAGACATACCCCACACTAAATGATAGAAATTGCAATTTGCAAGGAATATTGATAACAAAGGTCCGCAATTCCTTGAGTAAATACAAGCATTCATCAATAGACACGAGATGTCAAGGATGACAAAGTTCTGAATTTCAATTAAAATATTTCAATCTGAATGAATGTGGTTTTTAGTGTTCCAGTTAAGCAAACAGAGTACTAAGATTGTTGTCCAACACAGCCTCAGTGTACATCGGAAAACAGGCATCAACATGTAAAAGTAAAGGCGATAAACAAGGCTGCTAAGTACAACTAGTATGTCCTACCGTGACTTAAATAGGTCACCTCAGGGGGTTACACGCCATTGTTCACTTTGAGAACAAAACACTTTCCGAAGTATATGTCAAATAGCCAGAAGTGTTTATTTCTTCAGCCACATGGTCTGAAAATGTGCATAACTGTCAGAGGAACACCCGTCAATCATGTGACACACAGGCACATACACATCTTGAACGTCGGCTGTAAAATGAAAACCACCTGCCTAGTATTGTGTAGGTCCCCCTTGTGCTGCCAAAATAACTCTGACCCTCGAGGCATGGACACCACAAGGTATGTGAAGGTGTTCTGTGATAAGACAGCAGCAGTAGCATCCTTTACCTCATGTATGTCGTGAGGTGGTACCTCCATGGATTGGACGTGTTTGTCCAGCACATCCCACAGATAATCGCTTGTAAAGTGGTACCTCAGTTCTCGAACTCATTAGAACCCGAATTTCTTAAAGGTCGAACCAACCAGTTCGGGGAAAAAAAAATGACCTAGAACTCGATCTGAATATCAGAAGTCGAACCGTGAATGCCAACCTAAGATAACTTGTACGCACGGGGATATTAGTCACGCTGCAGGTCTCTCAGCGGAAACGAAGGGTAACCCTTTAGTCTCAGCCTCACATTCGCTGTGATAGCATCGTGCATGTTTACACTAGCTGAATACATATATTTAGACAGTAAAAATACATTAAGACAATGATAGACAGTAACAGTAAATATGCATTAACAGAGCAATGCATTTTAGCAGGAACATCTTTTAATTGCAGCTGCAGTTAAGGAAACTGTGGTCTCAATAAAGATTTCTTATCAATTATTTTAATATCATTAATAATAAACCATTAATACATTTAATTATAATAATATTGTCGTGCCGAGCGGGGATGGAACGGAGATAAAGGCGTAGACATCAGGGTATTGGCGGAATACGGGGTTCAATTACAGGTAAGGGAGGCAAAACGCAGACGGAAAATACAATGACGGACTGGGGAAACAAACAAACGCGGACGAAATACAGAGGACTAATGACAACAACCAGAAACAGCTGATCACATGGGGATTCCACGCGAGGTTAATGAGGGGGCGTGGCATACAGAAGGAATGGACGACCAGGGCAGGACACGTTTTTACACATTGTTTGAATACATTTATTTTCTTACTTTACAAATTACTGTTTTGATAAATGTACTTATGTGTTTAGTACAGTATATGCTCTTCTTGTTTTATCAGGTTCATTTTGGGTAAACATATTTACGTGTAATTTTTTGGGACCAGGAACCAATTAATTGGTTTTCCATTATTTCTTATGGGGAAAGTTCGATCAGAACTCAAACTTTTTAGGATTCGATCCTGAGTTCTGAACGGATTAAGTTAGAGTACTGAGGTACCACTGTATTCAGATCGGGGAAATGTTGAGGCCATGTAAACAACTTCAGTTCTTTTTCATGTTCCTCAAACCATTCCTGCATACTTTTTGCAGTGTGGCAGGTCACATTATCCTGCTGAAAGAGGCCACTGTCATTGCTGTGAAGGGGTTTACTTGCTCTGCAACAATGTTTAGGTAGGTGGTACGTGTCAAAGTAACATCCACATGAATGCCAGGACTCAAGATTTCCCAGCAAAATACTGCCCAGAGCATCACACTGCCTCCGCCCGTTTGCCTTCATCCCATTGTGCATCCTGGTGCCATCTCTTCCCCAGGTAAATGACGCACACGCACCTGGCTGCCCACATGATGTAACAGAAAACATAACTTATCAGACTGGGCCACTTTCTTGCATTGCTCTATGGTCCAGTTCTGACACTCACTTGCCCATTGTAGGCACATTCAGCAGTGAACAGGGTCAGCATGGGCACTCTGACCGGTCTGCGGCTACACAGCCCCATACAGAACATTAACTTTTTTTTCAGGAATTTATACTACAGTAGATCAGATGGGCTAGTCTACACTCCCCAAGAGCCTTGGGTGCCCTTGAGCCCATCGCCGGTTCACCGGCTGGCCTTCTGTGGGCCACTTTTGGAAGGTACGGAACACTGCATGCCAGGAATGCCCCACCAGGTCTGCCTTTTTTGAGATGCCCTGACCCACCTGTCTAGCCATAACAATTTGGCCGTTGTCAGTTGCTCAGATCCTTATTTTTCCTTCTTCAAACACATCAACTTCAAGAAACAGATGCCATTGCAATGAGATAATCACTTTACCTATCATTGGCTTTAATGATATGGGTGATTAGTGTACACAGACACACAATTCTCTCACATGAACTTTAGCTTCACTGAAAACCTTGCTTTAGTTATTAACTACTACCACTATTATAAAACCGTGGACTTGCTTTGGGTTCTTTATGGTCTGATCTGGGCAATACTCACTTGCATACAATTCATGTGATTACAGGTCACATGCATATGTATCGTAACCGTCTGACAGAGTCTGGCTATTATTCTTATAAAAGTCATGCTAGACTGCCTAGCACCACAGGCGGTGGTCAGTGTGCATGGAGTGGCAGCTTTTTGCACCCACACCGATCGGACGCTAAAGTGACAATTTAAGACACATGCAGTTAGATACTAGCAAGGAATGCAAATATCAACTTTGCCAGAAACAGAACTCCTTTATTTGGAACTCAAAACTCCACCACAGGCTCTATAATGTTCGGTGACACTGGTTGACCCTCCCCCTACATCTGTTCACGAACAGTTTAGTTCACGTCTCCTCCATCTTACAGGAAGGCCTGGAGCAAACAGCATCCCTCACACCATCACTGGAGTTCACAAGTGACTCCCAAATTATACAAAATAAATTAAAATTAACAAAAAAAGCATGGAAATGAATTGATCATTATCACCCTTAAGTGAAAACTGTAATGATAAAAAAAAAATGGCACAGCTGCATATTACCAAACCCTGGAGGACCACATTATTCAGTGCATGAAAGCCATGAAGCCTCCACATTCACAAAATATTAAACAAGCAATGTATGGTTGTTCTTTGCAGTACCTTCTCTGCTTAACTCGCTGTCAGTGATAATTGTGGCTGGTCTGCTTTTCTTACTCCCAGTTACATTCAGTGCTGCAAAGGAAGCACCTGTCAAAAAGGTTCTTGCACAGAATCCACAGCTGCTGCCCTCTCACCGGAGCATAAACAGCAGAGACCCTGAAAGACCAGTCTTGCTGATAAACATGTTTAAAACCAGAGTGTTACAAGTAATAAACGCTTCCAAGGCCACAGAGCCATGACACCATTACTTCAATCCACAATAATTAGGCCCTGAGAACAAGCTAGTAATGAAATGTCCACAGCTTCAAAATGCTAAACTGGCATTCTTTAATTCAAAGTCTCATGGTGTGAAAAACTATGGAAAAGTCAATTTCTTTTAAACCAACGGTAACATCAGAGCCTGACTGGATCAGGGTGAGGCTGGTAAGCCAGATAGAGAAATGCATCAACCCTGTAGCCTGTGCCTTGGGAAAAAGTCAAAACTCCCCCTAGAAAATATTCACACTGTCATTGCATGGGCAAACAGGGAAGACGGCTTTGCTCCTGAGTGACAAACTAGCCCTGTGGACCACAGATTAGAATTGAACAAACATAAGACCGAGAACAGGGAAGACAAACAGTTCCACATGGACAGAGAGACAGACACCGAATGTGTGTACCCAAATAAGCAAATGATTCCAAGGCAAACATTTCAGTGCAGCCAGAAAGGGGGACAAACAGAGATGATGACAATAAAACTTTTGACAAATATAAGGGTCAATGAGTAAACCGAAAGTAACGCAGATGAAAAGTGACAGATTTACCTGCAAATCACTGTGGTAATGAAACAAATGTTAGTTTTAATTAATGGAGTAGAACCTTTCCAGCGAGGAAGCAATCCGTGGCTTTCCCTGAGTAGACACGACTGTCTTATATATGAAAAAGGATAGAAATAAAATGATACAAATGTTTGTTAAAAAAAAAAAAAAAAACATTCATACTTAAACATTTAAGGCTGAGTATAACCACATAGTATTAAATTTAAAAATGGCACCCCTGCCCCAATTTCGCATTTAGCTTGGGAATGTATTCAGCATTCCTGCAAAATAACTCCTATCTATTCCAACTCTCTGACGGTCAAAGACTGCAGCTTCTGATGAACGATAAACTAGTGATGTAGGGTTTTCACTGGAAACTCACACTGTGCAGTTTGCATGTGAGCTACTGTAAGGCAGAACTGAAGCAGTGCTGTGATCCACTTCGGCAGAACCTGGAAAGACACTGCTTTCCATCACCAGACTCGATTTCGCTTTATGTTGGCCAGGGGAGAGAATTCTTCCAAAATGTGGGAGGCAAAGTTCAAACGAGTGAAACACAGGCTGGGTGGCAGTCATTACAAGGCAGATTCTGCCTCAGGTTTCAGCTCAAAGTGCAATCATAGCAGACAGAAGAGTAATACCGAAAGCCTTACAGAATCAGACATTCCTTCCTTTTAAAGCCAAAATGACACTATCAATCATTTCAAAATATAAACTCAAAAACACAGTCACATGTTTTGTATAGAACATCAGCAGAACATCCTCCTTCCACACTTATAGTTTTCATAAGACTTTCCAACTGCTTTTGTGACTGGCTTCACACAACAGGGACCTCAACTGTCAACGCTGGCTCCACCTCAAAAGGACCATGCCTTCTTCACTTCCATGACCACATGAATCGTAGACCATGATCAGCATGACATAAAACATCCAAGCAGCTTGGTCACTGGGTCCAGCTCAGTCTCCAGCAGAATAGAGCACCAGTAGAGGTCTAGAATACTCAAGTGGATCCAAGACCCCTGCAAATCTCTACTGAATGGCAAAAACCCATTAGAGCTTCTTTTACCTCTTTTTTTCTTTTGTCATGGAATATATTTGGTGCAGTCTCCAAATTAACTGTTGTCACACCCTAGGGAGGATGACTGAAGTGGATAAGTGAAGGCCAGGGGCCTGGTTCAATCACGGGTCCTGTTATGAAGAGTGCAGGGGAATGACGAACTTGCAGCCAAACGGCGAGTGATAACTGATGCCCACTTCCTGGAATATTTGCTGAGGCAGGCCAATGTCACACAGGTAAACCCGGCCTGCCCCCTCGGCCAGCGACAGGGGCAGGCCCAGACAGAGGGACCACTTGGCCTCCACCGCTTGGTCCTGCCCGCTCACCGGCGGGTCGATGCTCAGCACAGGGGCTCGGTTCTGGTTGGCCCAGTCTGCGGCAGCCCGGTACCACGGCTGGTCCCTGAGGAAGGCATTTTCATGACAGTCGAGGCAGTTGATGACCAGGTCCACTGGGCTCTCGGGTAGGTCTGCATGGAAAGCACAGGTTGAAAAGACATGTACTCGCATAGCACTAATCGCAACCTCTAGAGGGCGACAATTTACAACCAAACCATGCTTACCACTTATCCGCCACAACACTACCACCAAGTACAATGGCCTCAGGTGAACCAGGTAGCAATAACATGTCTAGTCTTGGTAAATATTCTGTGGAAGACAGCAATTAAATACTGTGTCGGAACAGGTGAGACGTGTTTACTGACGGTACCTTTGATGCTGGACACTTGCTTGCCTCCCGTTTTGTTAAAGAGGGTCAACTCATTAGTGATGGCCTCTATCATCTTGACAAAGTTGGGCAGGAAGAGGATGACCTCCACCTCATGGTTGGCCAGGTGTCGTCCACAGCTGACGCCCTGGGCACCCTGCACGTGGGGGCCACACAGCAGGGCCACTGTGGGGCGCTGGTGCACGTTCTTGGGGGTCAACCTACAGGGAACGAGGAGCCCATCTCAATACTGACCTACTGACACACCACAACTGTATCCGGACTTTCCATTAGAATGTCGTGGTCTATCCAAAGAGGAACCCAGTGATCAGCGATTCTAATTTACTAGGTTATTTTAAATGGATACACCGGGAGCCAATCAGCATTGGCCACCGTGTCCCACAGCCATCCCACCAGAGCATATGATGGCCACTACCCCGCCCCTCGGCCAGCCACTACCTCACCGGTTGGGCCCACCCAGCAGTGTCAGCGCCATCTGGCTGGCACACACGCCCGTCATCTCCAAGCGGCGCTCCAACGTGAGGCCGCTCCGCTCCGCCATGGACAGCAGGCGCTTATGCAGGTCGTAGGTCACGCTGGGCACCACCAGTCCCGAGTCTACAGCAACCAGCAAACAGACACAGAGAAAGACATGGAGGCACTTGCAATCTGCACCGCTGCACCATCCATGCAGACGACCACATGTTCAGTGTGTTCCACCACTACCCGGTTAAACGGGTTGATATAGGACAACGCACATGGCTGTTCTTGCACATCTCTGAAATTAAGTAAAACAAAACCATACCATTTGTGACTGAGTGCTTGCGATCACATGTACCAGGTGTAACCTGACATGCTGCTGCACGCTCATGTGACACAGGGTGAATGTCACATGACTTCGACGCCCCCATTGGCACGGCGTGCGTGAGAGAATCCCTTGATTAATCTTTGTTCAAAAATCCGCTACAGCGGCAACAGATAAGGTGACAAACTGCTCTCAGTCATGCAACTGGCGGCAGATAAGGGGGGGGGGGGGGGGCTAGTTGCCTTGCGCTAATTGCGGGTGGTATGTCTGGAATAGGATCACCACAGGTCCTCCTTCCAAGGCCACACCCCCCACATAGGAGAATGCCCGATAATCACAGCAGGGACAGCCATATCTAATCAGGCCCGGCACACAGGGACCGCCGATGCCATTTCACAGGACACCGCGCCAGGTCCTGATGAGACAAACCCCATGCTTTATTATTTTATTACTATAAACTCACTTGGACCTCTGTCAATCAGCTATAAATCATGCCGACGGATCCTAAATGGGACCAAACTTTGGCGAAGGATTTTGGTTCATATACAATCAGATGCCCATGAATACATATTAAATGTAAGCGCTTCGGGAACACGTCTAATGAGACAGCAAAACATACTCAGTGAACCACCAAATCGCAGGATTTAATCTTTATCACACTCAGAGTCTGGGCTCAAAATGAAGGCACGGCGGAAGCAACAAAGAGCAGGCTCTCTGCCGAAGGCGGATCAAAAAGCTGCAGGTTAAGGTCCAATGAAGGAAACCTCTGTTGTACCCTTGTGCCAGTACCCTGCTTTTAAGATGCCCAAGGAAAGATTAATCTTATGGCTACCTACTGGACAGGTATGATCCTAACACTTGGTATCAAAGCAGCCCCCCAGTTCCTATGAACCTGAACGAGAGCAATGCGGCGATGCAGGTATGAATGAAGAGGACAGGAACCTGCAGTAGCTTCCATGTGCTTCTGGGAAGCTGAGGCAGCAGAGAGAGTGGAAGTGAAGCTGCTGGTTCAAATCCCCTCTTGTAGTACTCAAGAGCAAGGATTTAAACTGAATCCCTTCAGCTGCGTCAATTTGGAATTACAGCATATAATTATGGCATGAACCAAGCAAATAAACACCCTGTGCACCAAAGGGGATGTTTACCGGTGCAGTACTCTACCCCCCCAGGCTGTGGCACAGTTATCTGCCGGTAGATGACGGGCTTTCCCTCCAGGATGTTCTCGTCGTGACGATAACGGGAGGGCGTCCGCTCGCCAGGCCCCCCGCGGGAACGGGGCCCGCCAGCACGGCGCTCCGACGTGTCGATCTGGGAGAAGACAGCCGCTTTGTCAAACAGCGCCAGGTTGCCCTCAAAGTCAAAGTCTGTGCCGAGGCCTTCGTCCACGCCGTCGCCAAAGCACTCGCTGTCTTTGTTCTTTGCCGGTCCGCCGCCGCTCTTCATCCCGTTCTTCTTGGGTGTGGCCTGACTGGGGCCCCTGCAACTCGAAGACCCTAACAAGAAAGGGGGGGGGGGGTTGTGGAGGATTTAGTCTGCCTAAAAACAACATAGAACATCAGCACAAAATATGAATACTGATCCCTGCCTAGGGGCAAGAGTTTCTCTCCAAACAACAATTTCCCTTTGAGCAAGCAAGCAGATCTTTAGCAGTAAAAGCAAATGAACATCCCATAAATCTTTCAGCATGCCAGACTTCTGTCAGAGCTCCAGCAGATTTGCTGTACTGTTTTATTTCCCAGCATGCACCTGATACACACACTGTTTACAAGTAAAATGATTCTGAATCCAGGCCCCATAAAAGAGGCGCATGTTGCCCTGGGAAAACGGCGTGAAGCCCCACCTGTCGGTTTTGCTAACATATCTCGCCAGAACGCTGACAGTGCTGGGGCTGAGTGGAAAGTTACTGATCAGCAGACTAGGGGGAAAAGGCCAGAGTTATGTTAGCATTGCCTGCCTGTTGTCGGCACTAACCTATGTAAACCGTGCCATTCAATCTGGAAATCCGTGGCCATAAAATATTATTCAGCAGTGTTGCTTTTGCACTTCATGGTTTTATTATACGCACAGCTGAATGAGAGTGTTCTTTAAACATGCAGAGATGAATGAAGATGAGCATTTAAACTTATACGTGAAAATGTAAAAACACACTACAAATGAGTGCAAAGGTGCAAAGGGGGGACTAAGGTCATATCTAAGAGGGAAAATAGATACTGAGCAATGCTGTAACACAGTACGCAGTATGCAATCAGAGCAGGGCTAGCATGGGCGGAGCTGCGTTAGGGTCACTAAAGGGGCTATTATTGAAGGGCTACTGCAACGCTCTGCACAGCCAATGTGCAGATGAGGGACTGTGTTCTAAAAGCGTGTATGACACGCCGAAGGCAGAACCGAGACAGCGCTCCCCTATCAGAGGTTACAGCCTAACAGAGAGAACTTAAGGACATCCAATACCGTTTATGCAAACAGATCTGCAACACTACTACTCCATAAACACTGGACTCTTCCTGACTAAGAACTATCAGGTTTGTAGCTGAATTCAGGTTGCTTCTTTCGGACATCTTCTTTGTGCCACAACTCTAAGTAGGTACCAGGCTAGATTTACTGTCAGAATATTGACAATACTAAAGATACCAAGAAATTCGACCCATTATCTTTCACAGATTTTGACATATGGCTGCTGGGGTACCCCCTGACCTGACATGTGGGATATCACTTTCATTTCTACTGAAGCTTTTACAAGATCTCAAAAATTTCACAAATGTCCTTTAAGGTAATGATATTTTGAATCTGAAGCATTCTGGGCCAGTCTTTAAATATTTCTCCAGTCCATGTGCTTACCTGCTGGTACCTACTGTAAGACGTAAAGCTTTAATCTGTGATAGATCATTTCCTTTGTGTGAATCAGTCTCAGCTACCAAAGGAGAAACAAAACCTACACACAGACACACCCAAAACCAATGACTAGGTTTTCAGAACCTCACAAACTGGACGTTATGCTTCTGAATTACTGAGGAGTTTGTTATGATATCAAATCCTCTCACTGTCACTAATCAAAGACAGGATGTCACCGACACATGCAGTGGCAGACTTAAGGTGGACACCACAAAAATCTGGAAATTCCCAAGGGGCTGGAAGCCAACAATGTCTCCAAAGGCAGCAGTAGAGTTCTGACTAAACAAACAAATGACTTCAGATGTACTAGGAAAACTGACTATCCAAGGACACAACCGTAACAATGTCATCAATTAGCGAATTACCAGTGTTTCCCATTTATCCATCTTCCAACAACTTTGTAAAGATTTCTATGCAACATTAATAATTGTATCCACTCTTGAGTGACACCACCAGAACCTGGAAAAGTACTGTAGCCAGTTTGGACTGGGATTCCCCAGTATATCCAACAAAAGGCCAATATATAATTTTGCAGCATTGCGCACACATCACAGACGCATTGCCGGATGACTTTACAGCTCAATGACAACAGCTCAAAGCATTTGCCTCTATAAAACATAATTTACAAGATTTGCTCTAAACCATAATTGTACAAGTGCGTCAAAGAAATAAACAATGAAGAGCTTTCTGAAGTGTGGTTTGTGTTTGTGGGCACGAGCAGGAACGATGATGATGGTGTATAAAAGCAGCATGTCACAACTCCCCAACACTAAATGTTTGCGGCTGAGAATGAATGGATCGTCTATCTTACATCCTTTGGGAAAGAAAATACTTAAATTACTGAATTTTGGCCATAGCATGTTATAGCATAACAGACCTCACTTCTTGCCCCATCAGTGTTGTTAAGTTATGGAGCCTTGACTAATAGTTAGTTAGCAGCACACTGGGAAAAACACAGCTGCCTGACTGTTCCCAGCTAACAGCAGGAACAGCGGCATTCCAGACGCAGACAGAGGGGGGGGGATTAAATGAGGACAAGGAAGGCATGAGAGGATGTAAACATGCCCTGGAATAACCTCTTTAGACCGATATTGGTGGGGAGAAGGGAAAGATTACCACTCTGAATCATACACAGGTATGTCATAAAGGCAGAGTTGGACAGCAGTGTGCCAAGTCAGGGCAAACCTCCGCTAAACCCATCTGGAAGAGTGACATCCCATCCCACCTAGCTTTTTCAGGGCTGCAGCTGGGCAATAAAACAACGCAGAAAACGCTGAACGGTTTTCATCCTGCCACCCAGATTAATCATATTGGCATTTGGGCATTCCTCATTACACCCCCACCCCACCCCATTCACAAATGTCCTTTAAGGTAGTGAGATTTAATATTCAATATCTAATATATATTAATACTTTGCCACTTGCACAAGTACCAGTACACTGGAACGCCCCTCTTTGCCCACCCAGTCTTGCTCTCCATGACACCATGGTCACAGGACAGGGTTAGCCAACATGAGGAGACCCTGGGGCTGGGTGTTAAGGGCCTTGCTCAAGGGCCAACAGACATGTAAGTGTTCTGGCAAGACCAGGACTCGAACCGGCAATCTTCTGATCACAGGTACAGAGACTTAGGCTGCTGAGCCACTCACTGCCGACTGCATACTATTCTTTTTTTTTTTTTCATGTTTTCCCTATTTTAGATAAAGCTCTGAATTTCAAGAGCCACAAATCAGACTGCATGTGCGCTGTGGCCCTGGGGCACTTAATACCCGTAATGCGGTCCTGCTGCCACACGCCATTTCCCACCGAAAACCTGGTCTGAGAAGACGGTATTTCGGATGTTGGGCACCTGCAATAATGGCTGACGACAATCTACCAGGACGGAGCAGTACTCACAGGAGTTGCGTCTCTGCTGGGGGCCTTTGGCCTGCCCCGCTGCCTCACTGCGACGTTCCCCGTAACTCTTGGAGCACTGTGGCTGAGGCAGTGAGCTCCTCTCCTCCAGCAATGTCAGTTCTGTTTTACGTGGCACTGCCACTGGAGCACTGCTAGCTGGTGCCCCGCTGCATCCGTCGCCACCCTGCTCCTGGCTTCCCGCAGACAAGGGGCCCGAGTCAACCACACTGACCTGGCTGAGTCTGCCGCCCTGGCTACCATTTCGGATCTCCAAAATCTTAAGATCCTTGATGTCTATGGCACTGGACGACAAAAGAACAGCAACAGAAAAAACAATTATAATTGTATAATTACAGTGTATCTGCATAGCATTTGCTTAGCGAGAGACATACTGTTTTCAATGTTGCATTATTAATACCTAAACACACCTTGTGCCATCAAGGTGCAAGCTAAAGTAGCCATGGCCTGTCCATTAACACGGAGCTGATCTGATAAACATTTAGATGTTTATTCAGTTCACCTGAAAGTGACCTCAGGAACCAGACACTTGATGCCATTGTGGAAAGGATGCCTCAGTGATATAGTTTGACTACCCTGGTCCACCGCAGACACTTCTCCCTGGTATACACCGAGTGTAGGTCCACAGTTGATCGACACCAAACTTCCCAGCCAGTCTGCAGCCATATTATTAGTTACACCTAAGGAGAAATCATAAGACATTTTGTTTGCTAATGGCGGGAAACAAAATCCGTCTCTGAAGATACACCTTGGGGATGAACTGAATCGCGTACGCGGTGAAAGTGAGTGTTAAACTTGGCCGAAATTTACGCGACGGTCTTTTCCGGGTCAATTTCTGCCTCGCAACTACAGAACACAAGCAACGCAAACTCGAAAGCCACTTCCAGTTTGCAAGCGGCAATGTGCCGCATCTAAATTCTCAGATTTTGCTTATCTTTCTATTCAGCTAGTCCTTCATTTTAATTTGTGATACACACGAAAGCAGGACTGAAATCTACAGTTAACACATACACCGCTATTTTTAGCCTCCTGGAAATCAAGACTAGTGTTTCAAAACTCATAAATATAAAATATGATGAACCTGCAGTCAAAGGTCTCTATAAAAATATCAGCTCTAAGTCGAATATTTCGGTCCCTTTCCAAAACTTGTACCGATAAATAACTTTCCCGCAGAAGTACGCCTGCACTTCTACCGCAGACAGACGCTTTACTTCCTGAAAGCCGGTTCGCGTCTTACCTCATTTCCTACGTCGCGTGATGACATCATTCGCAAACGAGCGTCCAATCTCAATTTCGTCTTGCTGATCGTGCTATGGAGACTACTGTCAATTGCTGTTTAATGTGTAGATTTCCATGATTAAACGGCCGGTATGATTGTGGAAGACACTTAACGTTATTTCAGTTTTCACGAACCTTCATTACAGTAATATATATACTAACGTTCAAATGTTCGGGGTCACAAATTTAATTGTTTTCCATGAAAACATACATTAAATGAGTTTGAATAGGAAATATAGCTAAATAAAAAAGAAGTAGTCATTGACAAAGTTAGAAATAATCATTTTTAAATTCAAATAATAATGATGTTCTTCAGACTTTTAAGGAAGTAAATCTGTGTCATCACAATTTGAATTTTATATGCCACTGAAATTCTAATATTGAATATTTATGCATCGGAAATTCAATGGTCCGAATTCACATGCAAAAATATGAGATTAAAAATAAGAGTTATACATCCGGGATACCAAGGCTAAGCAATCGAATCTGTGGCTGCGTTCGACTTGGGCTTAGGTCTGTCTGCAGCTGACGTGACAAGAGCATCTGGTTGGACCGTCGAATTGGAGCAACTTTCAAATGTTGTCTTTGTATTTTTTAACCTCGTATTTTTGCATGTGAATTCGGACCATCGAATTGGAGCAACTTTGAAATGTTGTCTTTGTATTTTTATCCTCGTATATCTGCATGTGAATTCGGACCATCAAATTTCCGATGCATATTTCCAATGCATAAATATTCAATGTTAGAATTTCAGTGGCATATAAAATTCAAATTGTGATGACACAGATTTACTTCCATAGACTTTACTTTGGTCAAGGAGTCCTCCATCTGCAGCAATTACTACCTTGTAGACCTTGGGCATTCTAGATGTAAATTTGTTGAGGTAATCTGGTCAGATTTCACCCCATGCTTCTTGAAGCATCTCCCACAAGTTGGATTGGCTTGATGTACCATTTGGTCAAGCTGCTTCCATAACATCTCAATAGAGTTGAGATCCGGTAACTGTGCTGGCCACTCCATTATACACAGAATACAAGCTGACTGCTTCTTCCCTAAATAGTTCTTGCATAGTTTGGAGCTGTGTTTGGGACATTTGGAGTGATAGCCCTCCTTCTTCAAGATCCTACTAACCCTGTACAAATCTCAATTAAATTCAATTTTACTTGTATAGGGTGTTTTCACAACATTAAATTGTCTCAAAATCTTTACAGCATCCCCGCCCAAAGTCCCCCGTGAGCAAGCCAGAGGCGACAGTGACAAGGAAAAACTTCCTAGAAGGAAGAAACCTTGGGAGGAATCAGACTAAGAGGGAGCCCATCCTCCAGGGCCTGGCAGAGGAAGTCAAATGAGCAAGATGGCAAAGTCCCAATTAACACCCAATTTTAATATTTGAATCTCAAAGCAGGGGGCAGGCAGGTGATGGCAGGCAGGTGCTGATGCTGCTTCAGTGGGCAGGGCGA